CCACAGACAAAACAGTCTCCTTTCTTTTTGAAAGAGGGGTTAGAAGCATTGGGTTTGTAATCAGATTTTCTATTCCTCTTGTCTTTAGTTTTAGAATCATACCTCTTGCTGTGAGGCTTTGTCTCCACTAAGTTGGCTTTGGATGTCATTTCTCTGGTTCGAGTTGCACGTATTGCCTTGCGGTTGGTGTCTTCGATGATGATGTGAGTAATCAAGTCAGTCAAGGATAGCTGCTTCTGTTTGTGTTTCAACTGCTGTTTGTAGTCAGACCATGATTCTGGCAGCTTCTCAATTAGTATCCCAGCAATAAACTCGTCTGGAAGGTTGATGTTTTCAGCACGAAGCTCCTCCAGCAGCTTATGATATTCGTTGATTTGCTCCTTCACATCCTTGTTCTCGGTCATCTCCCATTTATAGTAGTTGCCCACAACGAACTTTTGTTTACTGGCATCCTCAGCTGTGTACTTTATAACCAGGGACTCCCATATCTTACAAGCTTCCTTGTAGACACAGTAGACATCGAACAAATCATTAGATAAAGTGCTAATGATAGTATGTCGGTATACCTTGTTTGCATGAGTCCATGCAACTCGTTGGGCTTGATCAGTATCAGCAGGAGGCTCGGATTGAGCAAGAGCAGCAGCCACACCATGCATGTCAAGGACGGTGAAGACACGTTCTTGCCAGCGTTTAAAGTTTCGGCCATCAAAGACTTCTATCTTTGATATGTCCGGGAACGGCCTTGGTAGGGGGACGGCAACAGCGGCAGGCACGTACTGACCTTCGGCCGAACCACCCGGCACACCTTCAAGAGTGACACCCTCAGCATTGTTGGTCGACATTGGGTTGAATAGTTCTTAAGATTGTTGAATAATATCGGCGGCGAACGTGTGTAACAGCAAACTCCTGACTGGTTGCTTGAGTCGTGCCCAGAAGGACACTGTCCTTAAGAACTATTCCGGCACACCCTCGGACGGCCGGAAGTTCCCCAGGATTAAACAAGCACTTCCTCGGTGGAACGAGGGAACAGAACAACAGAGACCAAACGTAATTACAGACGCACACAGATAGATTGGCAGAGGGAAGAAGAGAGAACCGCGAGGACTCAAGAGGCTTCTGTTCTGTCTTGCTCTGTCTGAACCCATGGCTATATATAGCCCGAAGGTGGACATGAACGTTGGGAGGTTACCACCGGTTTAAAAGCTCGGTTACAGTCTCATAAAAATTATTTAAAAACTTGTCTGGAAACGTTGGAGTTACACAAAACGCATTCAACTCTGGAAACGTTGGGAACGTTTGGGAAGACAACCGTTTAGAAAAAATTAATTTGTTTTAATGAAAAAAACGTTCTTGGTTTGACTTCAAACTCCAGACAGCCAAAATTTGAGTTTCTCCGGCAAGCCAAAATAATTATTTATTTGTAAAATAATCCGGTAAAAGGAACCCACTACCTCTTGAACTCGCGCGCAGGGGGGGCGAATCGGCTGATTTCAACTGCGATTGCCCTGAGTTGGCCTGTCTCATGTGCGCGATGCCACTTCTCTTCCAAGCCCATTTTACTAGCCCACTTCATTCCTTAGTATATATACACTAGGAGAGTCTTTCTTTTAATCAATGTGGGACTTTGACACACACACACTTTTGACACACATACAACACCCTCATGCTCTCGCACGTGGTTTGGCTGATAGAAAGTCAAAACTAGTTCTATATGATGAATCTCGCATGTGACCAACTTGTCCTCACGCATGATTTTGCTAGTAGAATGTAAAGCCCAAATCTGTGTAACAGAACTGGCGTGGAACCAACATGCTCTCACACGTAGTTTGGTTGGTAAAATGCCAAAGCCAATTCAGTGTAACAAATCTCGGGTGGAAGCAACAAACTATCACATGTGGAATGGCTTGTTTCAAACCTAAACCATTCGAGAAGACATATCATGCGTGAAATGCAACAATACTCGTGTAAAATGGCAAGTTGCAAAATTTAAACCATTTTGGAATACATATCACGAATGGAACCAATATGCATTCAAGCAAGTTTTATATGATCAAGAGATATGTAACTATGAATGATAGATTACACAAGTATACAAGTTGAATTAGCCTTGAAATGGCTTAAGACTCAATTTAGCAAGATGTGTTCAAAGGGACAAATGAAAAATCACGCATGGTTACCGTTTGCTTTCACACATGAAATGACTTATGACAAAATGCAATGAAACACAATCTTGACAAATATGGAGTGCAGACCAAAAGGTTGCTTGCATGATTTGGAACATAGAAGCAATGTCAAGGCATCACACAACCACAAGTGACAAATCACGCGTGAATCACTCTCTAATTTAGGTGTGAAACATTAGTTGGTGTGCCTAACATGACAAATCACACGTGTGACCATACTAAATCACGTGTGATTTTTTAGACAGTAAAAAGCTCAACTTCTATGAACTACTCCAAGCTAAAATGACATAACTTGCAAGCTTAAATATATCAAGATGAGTCTTAATGTGCATAATTGAAACTTATGGGTTATAGATCATGCATTCATTTTAATGATTATGATATATGATTAAGCGTTTAAAGTTTTCATATTGAATCTAAGAGAATTAAACAATTTATCCTATTACACTTTATCTTCTCTTGATTCTTCATGCTCTTGAGGTTTTGTTTTCATTTATGATTCTTTATTTCTCTGCACACATAACAAACACCTTTTCTTTTAGATTTGTAATCATAAAAACATATGATCTAACAAAAATTCTCTGCCCACTCATATTGTTGTAGTATATTGGGCTGGAGAGCATCTTGAAGGGCGCGTGCCCCTTTGATGTTTGTCTCATGCTATCTTCAAAGGGGGGTCTCTATCAGATCTGCTAAGAGATTGGATAGTTTTGCTGTTTCATGGATCCTTTCCTTTTGTCTTCTTTCTTTTCCTTCTTTAGACAGATATCATACCCTTCTCTCTTGCATTGTTCTTTCTTCTGTAGTGGCAATGAGCCACTGCTAGTATAAATATGTCAACATATGGCAGTGAAGGTATGTAGAGAGTGGTGTACCGAAAAGAATTGTTTTCCTCTTCTGTTTCTACAAGATATTATTCTGCTGTGGAGAAATTTCTTGCCTCGGTAGAGGCATCTGTGTGCAAAAATTTAGCTTCTATGACCAAGTTGACTTTGCATTATTATTGGCTGGATGATGGTGAGATGCTATTGAAGTTATTCTTCGTTTGATGTTTCAGAAAGTTCCTAACAGACTCTTTGTGCCTTGCAAAGAAAAAGAACAATTAAGGATAAACATTCCTTGCATTTGAATTTGGTCGTAGTGCTGGATTAACTCCCAAAATTCAAATTTAAAGCATTGGCCTGAAAAAGGATCCCAAGCATGTGATCTGATGTTTTTTTGAAGCAATACATCTAATATAAATAATATTAAAGCAACCCTTTCAATGGGCAGTCAGGAACACTACTTGAGAGCTTACATGCACATCATTTGGTTTTCTGGATCAAGTTATGACAGTTACATATCTTATTGTTGTGTTAGAATCCTTCAGCTAAAGATCAAGCCACAGATAAGGATGGCTGGTTGACCACTGATGACATCGGTTGGATTGGGAGGAGTCGTCACTCTGGAGATGTGATAGTTGTGGAAGGCCGTGCTAAAGACACCATTGTTCTATCAACAGGTATGACAGAAGTTTCATAACAACGCAGCCTATTCATCTGTGCATTCTAGAAACTCTCTCTCTCTCAGAGCACTGTCCAATTTTATTGGGTCAGTGGGTGTGAGATAATGCACGGTACGAAAATAGCTTATCATTTGTGACTATGTTCAAACCACTTACTTCTACTTGTTTGCACTAGTATATCCTATGTCCAGAGAGTAATTTGCTATTATAGCTGGACAATTTGATTTAGAAGTGTCACTGATTATAACCTATCCTATTTATTCCTCAAGTTATTTGAATTATCTCGGTACTTGTTTATGTGAGAAGTTCCTATGAAAAGGAAACATGTAAAGTGTCAGGGTCTTCTTCCCTTGTCTTCATTACTTTTCAAGCAGGACATCAAAATTTCCATTCCAAATTGGACCTGTCCTTATAGATTTGAAATTCATAGGAGTTTAAAGCGTAAAAGCGATATATTCGGCTAATCTTTTGGTTTTGCTGACAGATTGATGGTGGCCTTATGACTTCCACCATGAAAGTTCCAAGGGATAAAGTCGCAGATAGACGATATGTACAAGTAAACTAGATACTGTTAATGTATCATACTGGCACAGGAGGGCTATGACCGTATTCAATGTGAAGACAAGGAATTATTGTCCCTCTATGTTTTTTTTTTTTAGTGTATTTTCCTGGTTCCTACAAAATAAAAAGGCGGCTTAGCCTGATTTATGCAATTACTTTGAACCAACTATCAGGAACCTAGATAAAAAAAACATAGATGCTGGAAGGAATATTTGAACCAATAACAGGAAGACATGATTAACACTGCATCATTGTGCCTGTCAAAATCAGTTTACAAACACATGAATAAGTCACGTTCTACAGCTACCAGCGATTGGTCCATTCTCAAATGCAGTTTGCACGGAGAATGAAAATATTTGTTGCACAAATTAACGAATCAGTATAGATATGATCTTAGTTGACTTAAGGATAAGGATTTTCTAACATCCTAGTTGACTTAGGGTGCTACAAACTTGAAAAATCACTGCCTAAGAAGCTAGAATGGCTAAACTTTGATATGCCATATGATGCAATTTAAGTTTTGAAAAGAACACATTCTAAAACATTATTGAATTGATACAATTTGGTTAACACATCTAAAACTGTAGAATGGGGGAGGAATGTGAGAAAGAGAAGGGACATATTCATGAAAGGGGGGAAGCCGTTGAGAGATGCAGAGGAAGGAGAAGGGAAGCAAGATACGGTTGACAAGCAAATAAAAGTCGATTGAAAAACTCAAAAGATATCAAAATATAACTCTTGAACAAGATAAATTACTAAAAAAATTAAAAAGATATTTAATTAAAAATAATACGAATCTAACAAACATATAATTAAATTCAGAATAAAACTAATTAAATCATTTATAATTCTCATGTTTAATTTTTACTTCCTAATTTACAGATTAACAATATCTCGTTGTAACATTATCTTCATATTCTCTATTACTAATTTTTTCGATCAGACCATCGAAGTCACCAAAAATCATTGCATGAACATTTTCCATCCCTAAAGTGGTGATATCTCTTGGCATCTCGAACATAAATCTCTCTGCTTGCAATAGTGCTGATGAGTTTCAAAACAGTATGGCAATCTCCACAAACACGAAGATTTTTCACTATGCGTATAATTGTACCAGGAACAGCCTTGAGAAGCCCATAGGCCACAGCTAACCTCTCACTGTGCCAGAAAAGCTGTCTCTCTTTCTCTTGCTGATCCATGTCGTGTAAGACAGAACTAGTATCAGGAACATAACCTCTTCTCCTCATCTCTGCATCTATCTTTCTCATTAAACCTAGAATCTCATCCTTCAGTGGATGACATGTCTCTCCAGCATAAAACACATGGCTTTCCTTTCCCAAATCAACGGAGCTGTAACCTGGTTCCTTCTTGACTTCCATCATTGCCATTGACTCTCTTGCTTTCGACACACCTTCCCACATACCAGCTCCCGCATAGATATTAGACAGCAATATATAGGTGGAGGGATCTTCTAGTTTTGTATTGGACAAATGATCAGCAATCCTAATTGCCATCTGGGTTTTACCATGGGACTTGCAAGCACTAAGTAATGCAGCCCAAGTAGGTTCATCAGGCTTGAATGGCATAGTTTCGATTATATTTTCTGCTTCTTCGAGGTAACCAGATCGACTATAAAGATCAAGCAAGCAAGTATAGTGTTTCAAAGACGGGGTGATGTTGTAATCTTCAACCATAGATCTGAACAAAGAACGACCTTTGTCAACTAGACCAACATTACCGCATGCATAGATCAATCCAACGAAGGTCACTTCATTTGGCTTGAACCCAGCCAAAACCATTTCATCATACAAAGCCAATGCCTCCTCAGCTTGACCATGCTGAGCAGCGCCAACAATAATTGAAGTCCAAGAAATGACGTCCTTCTTGCACAATTTATAGAAGATATCTTTCGCTGCTAAAAGGTCACTACATTTGGCGTACATATCTACAAGAGCATTGCTTATGAATAAGCAAGATTCATATCCAAGAGTTATAACCAGACCATGTATCTGTTTTCCAAGCTCCATAACAGCTAAATTGGCACAAGCACCAACTACGCTCGAAAGAACCAATGGGTCTACGATATCAATCCCATCTTTTCTCATTTCAATGAAGAAGCGCAAACCATCAACTTCATTCCCGCTCTGTATCAACCCAGAAATCAAAGCTGTCCAAGTAAACAAGTTCTTGTAAGGTACACTACAAAACAGTTCAATAGCATCTGATTTTCGTCCATTGCGAGCATACCCAGATATCATAGCAGTCCAAGAAACCAGATTTAACGAAGAAATTGAATCAAACACGGAACGTGCATGATCAGGCAACTCACATTTGGCGTACATATCGACCAATGATGACTTCACAACATCGTCTTCCCAGAAGGGCGACAACAAAAAGCGAGCATGGACTTGTTTACCTTGCCTCACAGCACCCACATTAGCACAAGCCTTGACGAGGCTAGCAAGCACAAAATGGTCAGGTTGTAACTTATCATTCTTAAGAATTGAACAAGAGACGGAGAGTGCTTTGTGTGGATGGTTGGACCGGTTGCAGGCAGTGAGAAGCGTTGCCCAGGAGACACAATCTCTGTGAGGCATTTCTTCGAACAGTAGAAGAGCATTTTGAACAATACCACATTTGCCGTAGGCGTCGAGCAGAGTGTTGGGCAAAGGCTCGCGTAAATGAAGGCCAGATTTCAAGATTTGAGCATGAAGTTTCTTGGCGAGAGTTAGGTTGAGGCACGCTGAAGATCGTTGAAGTTGGAGCACGTACTGAGAGATAGGCATTCATCACCAAACTCCGAGCAACACCACAAGATCAATCAACTAGCCACACAATCGGATTTGATAATTTTCAAATAGCAGAGAAAAAGAAGAAAGTACAGCAAAGAATGTAACATGGATGTATCAAAAAAAGAATGTAACATGGAAGTGGAGGTTCTGGGGGATAAGATGAAGACGAGAAGGGTGAAGAATTGAAGACTCGACGCTGCCGTTCTGAAGTGTGAAGAAAACGAAGGCCAGAGAAGAGTGAAGAATGTGACCGCCGATCGCTATTGAGCTCGTTGAGAGTGAAGGGTGAAGAAGACGAGCTCTGGCCAACGTTGAAGAAGACGACCGATCAACGCCGACCGACAGAAGAGGAGACTCAAGAGCTGAGTCTGAGCCGCTGAAGCTGAGTGATGTGTCGCCGTTGTCAAGACCTGATGAGAGTGAGAACAGAGAACTGCGACTGCGAAGTGCGGAGACGAGAACTCAGAGCTGCGCTTGCGGTAGTCATCATAAATTCCGAAGGGGAAATGACAAGCGGAAACCATAGCAACGTTAATGACAATTACAAACTTAGAGTGATTGAAACCTCAACAATACATTATATTGGCCGGTTAAAAAATATAAAATATTTTTTAAAAGATTATATATTTAAAAATATAAAATATTTTTTATTTTTTGAGATATAATTATTATCTTTTTTATAAAAATATTTTTTATTAAATAAATTATTTTAAGATATTTATCGAGATAAATATGAAAAAATAAGATTAATTTAAAAATAAATAACTAATTTATTAAGAATGAGATTTGATCAAAAATGCATTACATTTTTAAATAGAAAGAGTAGTTCTTATCTATAATTAAAGTTGAAAATTTTATTAAATATACTTTAAATTATTTATAATGTTAGTTAAAAATTTACAAGTCAGTGATTTCTTGTTGTTCATGCAAAAAGAAACTATTTGAAAAATCAAGTAAATATATTTTGAATCATTCATAGAGAGAATGACAAGTAAAGGCTTTGTAAGAATATTAACGTTAAATTTAAAACTTTAGTATTGAAATATGGTAGAAGGAGTATTGAAATTTAAAAATATTAATGTTGAAAAATCCTAGTTTAATATCAATTTTCTTACAGAATCTTTATTTGTTATTCTCCTTTATTCAAAATTTTAATTGGGAATTCACAAAAATTAATTATGAATTACAAGCATTCACTTATAATTTTTATGCTATAAATCATTCCAAAAATTTATTAAATATACTTCTGATTATTTATAAGGTCAGTTGAGAATTTATGATAGTCAGTTATAAATTACAAGCCAATTGCTTGAAATTTTTTACTTTTACTTGAAAAATCAATAAAAAAATAATTGAGAATTCCTCAAGTTAATCAACAAAAAAAAATATTACAAGTAAAAATTATAGTCTGTTATTAATATTTTAATAATTTAAAGTTTTTAGTTGTAATTAATCTCTTTATGGAGTTCTTAATTGTAATTTTTTCAATTCAAAAATGAAGAAGGGTTTTCAACTTTTCAAATTCTAATTTTGCCCTTCAAAAACTCGCTCCACCTACAAAAGCCCACCCTGATTTTTTTTTTCTCAGGTCTTCAAAACAGGCCTGATTCAAAGCAAGCCAACTGCATGAACAGGTTAAATAGTTGAATCAGATCACTTGCTTTACCAGGTGACAATTTGACCGTTGAGACCGGTCCGTGTGTCAAAACATTCGTGTGAACTGTGAAGGACGCACTTTCAATTATAGAAAACAACAGGGCGTGAAGGCTGGTTTAAAAAAAAAAGAATGGGGGGCATGATATGTCTTGTGAACTAGAGCCGAATCCTTCATGGGCCTAGTCTTCTAATAGAGAAGACATGGAACTCGGCCGAAAAACAAGCCCATTGTATGCCCTGCTTACTTTGGTTTCATTCTGTTGAATGAACCTATTCATATTTTTTTTAAAAAAAAAGTTCAGGCCCACTAACTAAGTGAGGAATTTTTGTTTCTTTCCTATTTGATTTGACTTCGACCTTGCATTTAAAGAATGTATGGGACTTCAGTCCTCAGAAATAAGGATCAAACTTAGGAGGTTACTCATTTAAGTTTATTTTTATAAAAATTCGAGCTTAAAAAATACTATTATTTTAAGAAAATCGGGCTTTCAAACTCGGCCCTAATAGGCTCTGAAAAATGGGTTCAAGCTCGGGCGACCCTTTTAGGTCTGTTTTTATTTTTTCTTTAAAAAATAAAATATTTTTAATTTTTAAATTGAATTTAAACTTTAGAATATATGTTTATATTTTAAAATTATAATTTATATTATTTGTTTTTAATTTTTAAACATTATAATTTTTATTTTTAAAAAATATGTGAAATATTATAATTAAAAATTTTAATTTTTAAAATTTTAAAAAAAATAAAAATATAATAATAAGGGCTTATGGACCTGATCCTAAACTCTTTACATAAGGGTCGGGCTCTAAAAAATGAGACATTTTAAGAAAATCAGACTTAATGGCTTAAGCTTTTAAGAGCTGGGCCGATAAAGTCCGAGCTCATAAGGACCGAGCTTATCCGTCTTTCAACTCCAACTTTGCACTACTGATGTTTAGCATCATGTAATTGGGGCTATATATATATATATATATATATATATATATATATATTCAGGAAAGAAAGAAAGAAATTAACAAGGCCACAGGCGCATACATAATAACAAGTGTGTCGCTTTCAACATGTATTAAGGATGAATGGGCGTTCAACCTGGTGCTTATTAGAGGTGACGAGATTGGATTCAAATTTAAAGTTTTTTAATTTTATACTTATTAAAATATAAAAATATAAAAATTATGAAAAAAAATATATAAATCAATTCTTTATCAATTTGGATATTTTTAATCTTAATGATCTATTTAATATTAAAAATTTTAAAATTTTTTATAAATTAAGTATCCAAATTTATTTTGAACAGTCCAAATTTAAAATTTTTAACTTGTAATATTTAAAAAAATATTTTTTTAAAAAAAGTGTCCATTAGCAAATTATCTTTATTTTTAATATTTTTATCTATCAAAGTAAAAATTATAAATATTTAATATTAAATTTGGATTATCTAGAGTACATCCAAATAGTCAATTTATAAAAGTTATAAAAAAATTTTAATATTAAATTAGATCACTCAAATTAAATCAGTGTTGTTTAAATTAATGATGAACATATTTATTTTTATTTTAATAAAATTAAAATTAAAATTGAATAACCCATAACCTTTTGAGTTGATGAAATGATGCACATAAGTTGTTGAGCATCAAAGTTGAACCCCATGAATAAGAATGGTTTTGTTTTGAATAGAGTTGAGAATATAAGCCAATTCAAATTATATAGGTTGGCCCATATAGGTTGAAGGAAAATATAATTTGGGTTAGGTTTAATTCATTTTTATATGGGTTGAAAAAATCCCAACCTAATCCATCCTTTGAGAGTTGATGGATTAAATTAGTTCACTCGTCAATCCATTGTTTTAATTTATTTTTCCATGAATTCAAGAAAAAAAATACTAAAATGATGAGTTTTAATTTGATATTTATTCATATTTCATTATAGATATACCATAATATTAATCTATAATATATGTGGGAAATATATAAATTAATCTAGCTAAATAAGTCATGCCCAATATGATTTATACTCATAAATTTTTCCCTTTTCTTTTTTAAATTTTTTTAAAAAATATGGGTTAAACAAACCAACTTTAACCATAAGGGTTAACTCATAATTTACGAGTTATATAATTCGGGAAAAAAAAACCTATTTTTACTTAGGTTGATTTTTTTAACCCTACCTTCTTTTTATGCCTGATTATTTAGGTTAACTCATACTTCCTTTGATCAGACACATTTTAGAAAGTATATTTAGTTCTATTTATAAGCTATGATGTGATTTTTCAAGTAATATTCAAAAGATATTTTTAAAATTATCCTTTACAAGAGAAAAAAATAACATAACATCACTTTTTAAATTTATTACTCCCTCTGTCCCAAATTATAAGACATTTTTAGATAAAATTTCACATATCAATAAACCTCAGTAAATACACTTAACAACCTTATTTTTTTAAAATAAAAATATAAACTTTTAAAAATACCATCATTTAATATATTAAAAAGAAAAGAGACTGAAATTAATTATAGAAAGAGGAAGAATAATATTGGAATTGGTACATTCAATAAAACTTTAATCTACTTAAAATATTTTATATTTTAAATTGTAGCAACTCCTTTAAAAATGCTCTATAATTTAGGACGGAGATAATATATAAGAGCATATTTAAAATTTTGCACACTTTTATTAATTTTATTTTTTATATTAATATTAATGATATTAGTAAAAATGATTCACGAAGAGAATAAAAGAAGGATATCCTAACATGTGTTCTCACTCTAGTTATGTATTTGGCGTCTCGTCCGTTCGTCGTCTCCCTTTTCTTCGTGACTTCTTTTCTTGTTTCTTTCTTCGTCACTTTTAGGCCGACTCTGTCTCCACTGATGTGATAGTTACACGTATATTATCACCTCAAAACTATTATCTAAAATATTTTTTAAATATCTTTAATTATTATTGTGTATATATCTTAATTATTATTAAGAGATATTATTTGATATTGTTATATAATTATTAGTCATGATTATATTATCTATTTACTTTGTGTATATAATATAACTTCCATCTCAATAATATATATGACATTTTTCAATTCTTCTCTAGGTTCTCTCTCTTATATTTAAAAGCTGTCATGGTGCCAGAGTCATAGAATATTTTTTCCCACGATAAGTACCTTATCTTTTGGATGTTGATACCCCAGTAAAGATTTCATATACACTTCTTCTAAATCTCCATTTAAAAAAGAATTTTTAACATTCATTTGGTGAAAAGGCCAGTGCTTAACAACAACAATGGTTAAAAGGCTACGAATAGAAGTCATACGAGCTACAGGTGCAAAAGTTTCATCATAATCACCGCCACACTCCTGAGTGAATCCTTGAGCCACCAAGCGAGCCTTACATTATTTTAAAGAGCCATCAGAATGAGTCATGTTTTTATAGACCTATCGATACCCAACTAAATTTTTACCACGAGGAAGATCAATAAGATCCCAAGTATGCATTTTCTCTAGGGCCTGCAATTCATCATCTATAGCTTGCTGCTGAAGGGGATCACGAGAGGCTTCCTTAAAGGATTTGGGTTTTTAAAACTAGAGAATGGTAGAAAAACAATAGTAATCATTGAGGTAAGAGGGAGGATTTCTTACACGATTGGGCTGAGAGTCTATGGATGATATAGGCTCAATAGGCATGACTTGTGTTGGAGGAGCAATAGGTGTGACAATAGGCATATTTGGAACAAGCACAACATCAGTCTTAGAAACAAGCTTAATAAAAGAATCTATACTCGAGTCACTAGGAAAAAGATCAGTAGAAATATCTATAAAAATAGGAGGTGAAGAAGATGAAAAT